ATTTAAAATGATTGATCAACGAAGTCTTGAAATGTCTAAAGCAAAAAATAAAGAAGCAAATACTGATTTATTGGCTGTAATTTTAGAAGCTGCTGATAATGAAAATTACAAGTACACGAATAAAGAACTTAGAGATGATATAGTTACTTTTTTTGCAGCCGGGCATGACAGCAAGTATTAAATTTTATTTATTGTGAAAGTTCATGCTGAAATTGGCCGATGTTGAAATTGGCTAATGTTGAAATTTGAGTCTCTATATAAATCTATAACACTCACTAAAATCTATATATATGTATATTGTGAGAATGAAATTTGTGATTGTTAGGGTTTGATTGTAATAAAGAAAAGTTCAAATCCGTTTAAATTATGTTTCCACTTATAACACACAGTATATATTTTTTTTATTAACAACTTTAAATCCTATAGTAATCCAAAAAATCTTCAAGGCCAAAATTCATCGTCAGCTTTCACATTATTATGAAATACAAAAATAATGACTTAATCTAATGCTTTTTTTTTTTGATACAGCTACTTCAATTTCATTAAGCATTATTTTTTATTATTTGGCAAAATATCCTGTAACTTTATTTTTTTATAATGTTGAAAGTAGTTATTATTTTGACAAAAATATAAATGCTTAATTTATCTTTTTTTTCTTCAGGATATGCAAAAAAAAGCTAGAGAAGAAGCACTCAATGTTTTAGGAAGTACTTCAACAATACCAACTTCTGATAACCTTAGGGTATTTTCTATTTAAGATTTACCTACATCAAATATTATTACAGTATTACGTAGTAATATATATATATATATATTTTAAAAAAAATAGGACCTAAAATATATTACTGCAATAATTATGGAAACGCTCCGTATTTATCCACCAGTATTGCAAGTGCTATTTCGTACTCCTACTAAGCCATTAAACTTATCAAGAAATATTACGATACCGAAAGGAGTAATGGTTGCAGTAAACTTATGGCAGATTCATAGAGACCCAAATCTTTGGAATGATGTTGATAAGTTTGTGCCCGAAAGATTTATGAAACCTGAAAAAGAGATAAGACATAATTGGGTTCCATTTTCTAGTGGACCCAGAAATTGGTAAGTCTTTTTTTTCTTTTTCTGAAATTTATATGACAGTATTTTATTATTTCTTGTATATTTATGTTTATATTGCTATTTTTATAGCATTGGTCAAAATTTTTCGATGATGGAATCAAAAATTATTGTTGCAATGACATGTAAGTTCATTTTAAACTATATATTTTTGTTTAACCATATACAGTAGCAAATATAATAATAATAATAATTACTATACTATTTATTCATCTACTTATTTATTTATTTACAGTGCTTAATTATGAGATCTCTTTGCCTCCAAATACTCCACACTTTATCATATTAAAC